ACACACACACACACATATCATATATATTATATAATATACAAAATATATAATATAATATATATTATATTGCATACATACATATATATATATATATATATATATATATATATATATATATATATATATATATATATATATATATATATATATATATATATACACACACACACACATACACACATATATACATATATACATACATACATATATACATATGTATACTTTACACATATACACATATACACACACACCAATTTTACTACATAACTTTATTAGTCATGTATTAAACATTAATATGTGAATCATACATAAAATCTGAACTTATTGGAACATCTACATGAGAACATTTACTTGTGCAACACAACAAACATTCATAATTTGCAAGCTCCATTTCTATGATAAAAGTTAATAATCATAATAATAATATATCTATTGATAAAAAAGTATGCTTCTGAAAGCTCATGCAAACAGATTTTACAATATACTGTTACAATATTTGTTACTACTAATATAGCTAACAGCTTTTTTGAAAATTAATAACTATAAAAATAATAATAATAATAATAATAATAATAATAATAATAATAATAATAACAATAGTGATAATAATATTAATAATAACAATAATAATAATAATAATAATAATAATAATAATAATAATAATAATAACAATAATAATAATGATAATAACAATAATAATAATAATAATAATAATAATAATAATAATAATAATAAAAAAAAAAAAAAAAAAAAACAGAAAATAATGATGATAATGATGATAAATAATAATGATACAAATAATAAAAACAATAATATAATAGTAGTAGTAATAATAATAATAATAACAATGGTAATAGTAACAGAAATAAAGAAAAAAAAATAAAATGACACATAAAGGGAGCACAAAAGACCTGGTAAATTATCTTGTACATAATCAGAAGGCACAAAAAACAGAAAAAAAGTTCAGCTCTCCCTCACCTATGTAAAGAAGGAGCCATACAGTATCATTATTGACGATTACACAGACTATCAATATTAAAATGCTGCTGCAAAAAGTACAAGACAGTGCATCACTCTTTTACAGCCAGTGGGGTAGATATCTTGGAGAAGATATATGCACACAACAACACTTATACACCACAACTTTCAGTTCAAATAAAAAAATATATAAAGCTACAGATATATATAAACACAGCTAAAAACAAAACAATAAAATAAAGGGGAAAGACTGAAATGAAAAGAAAAACAAAAGTAATAACAGAGCCCATAGACAACTAGATCCCAAAAAACAACAGACGAAAGCATGCCCACAAAATACTCCAGACAGAAAAAAGAAGAATATAAAAACACAAAATAACTAAGAGGCACCACACCTACACCTGGACACACACACCCAACGTGAAATGAATGAACAGCTAAATTACCTGAGGCTGCGGCAGCAAGCCCTGGCTCAGCTGTGGTATGGGGGGAGTTACCACAATGGTGAGGGCACCACCCGCTCCACCACCATGGTGTGGATGCATGTGGAGTGGATCTGGAGGCAGCTGGAGGGAGTGCTTGCACTCCAGACTCTCCACCTCACATGCAACCTAGGAACCACCAAGGAATCATGCACTACATTTACTACAGCTTAGGCAGGATCATTTTTGGTCTTTCTTCGAAGTTAGCAGATTAAAAGGGGAGGAGAGAGTGCTTTGCACACTGGCTCAGGATTTAGGGATGAAGTCATTTCTCGTTAGGTTTGGTTTCTGTCTACATTTTTTTTGACTGTTAAATCAAAATATCAAACAATGGTTTGTTACTATGCACTTGTTACTGAATAAAAAGGGTAATGTACATAATAAAAGGCACAAAAGCAAAGAAAACACAAATCAATGAATTATCAAACATACTGTAAAATGACACAATTACAGCACAAGATTTTACATGGAAATCCTTATGCTTGACCAAAATGCTTGCTTGTAAAGGATTTTTTCAATTTTTTTTTTCAATTTCTTTTCATAGGAAAATACTCAATGATTTGAATATTATTCTTTTCTTCTTCAAAAAAAAAAAAGCCTTTAAAGAAATTTATCAGTAAAATAATGACAACAACATCAATAATAATCATCATCATCAAAATAAAAATAATAAATATAATCACATATCATATAACTTCATCACAAATCCAAAGTAACTCAGAAAATTCTACAGAAATCAACATTAGTTTGAAAAGCTCCAGGAGGGCAGTCTTCTCAGTGGGGGAATCAGTATCGACCAATATGGAGATATTGAAAACAGAGAGAAAGGTCATTATGGGAAAAACATAAACTAGAGCATTAGATAACAACAGAGTTTTAGATTCTTTTAAGTATAATTTAGAAAATTGCAAATTTGTAAACATTATAAAATGATGAATAATTTAAATATGACATCAAACAAGATTTTAGAAAACAGTTTACAAATAAACAAAAAATAATACATTAGCCCTTTGCAGGGACACAAAGATCAAGTGGTGTTACTTAAAATAAATGGCTCAATGCAACATGCTCAGTGCCTTTGTAACCATGCTTTTTAACATGCCCCACTGCTTATCTAAGTCTACCTACAAGTCGTACAGCTAAATACACGTGAGAATCTATAATTACGCTGCCTATGACCTATCTTGTGGACCTGGACATTATATATTCTAATTCTTTTGGACAATGTACACTGAGGAAAAGAAGAAAAGGAAAAAGCAACAAAGTAATAAGATCACTGAAGAAGATACTGTAAAAAGGAAAACAGAAGTGGTAATCAGAACCACAACATACGTGTAAAAATGTGGTTTTCATGGAAAACGGAAGCAAATTGCCGAGGCAAAGATGTCAAAAAACAAAACTCAATGACAATCCAAAATCTGTCCCAAAAAGAGTGTTGGACTCCTCTACTCTGTGCTGTTCATAGTTTTGAGAGTCCTCTTTTAAATTGCAATAAAGCTTACTGATCAAGAAATCTACTTAAGCATCTAAGACATTCTCCTGCTCTTGAGGTAGCTCCCAAATGGTGCAGGGGCTCACTGGGTGTGTATTTAGTGTGAATTTAACCACAATACCTAGTAGCCTTAGCTTTGATTAAAACACTGTGCTCCATTTTTTTTTTCAAAGGCAATGACATATGTGACAGGATGGTGATGATTAATGACAGAGTGACATACTTTGCTGGCATGCCCATCCAATTGTGTTCTAAGGTTAATTGCCCAAAATTGTGAATATTAAAAGTTTTATTAGTTTAAGCTTTCATCTGTAACAAAAAGATCAGTATGTTCACATTCAGACATTCATGATTGGAAGGCACTAATGTGAACATGGTGATGATTACATTACAGATGAAAATTTAAACGAAGAAAACTAAACACATGTTCGGGCAATTACTGTGAGAACACCTTTGGATGCACAAATGGCAAATCTCCTTCACAAGCAAATACTCAATATGCACTTGAATAGAATGCAAGCCCAAATCATGATTTGATGACAGACTAACAAGAATGAAAAAAACTTGATAAGAAAAGAAAGGTGTGTGTATTGTGTGTCTGTCTTGAAGTATCCCATATTTTTTCCTAACAAATAAATCCTCTTCTGCAAAACCAAATGTTGATGGGCTACTATATCTTATTCATACTAATAAATAAACTATGACCCTTTTTGTCACTGGCTGTTGTGAGGCCTGCTACTTGATCTAGCAGAACCTAGCGTGAAATACCTTCATTAAAGTCATCTAGATGCAGTGTCACTATTCAAAATATATATACCTATATTTAAAATAAACTCCAGAATCTGATAAAACTCTCAACTAATGCTGAAATCTACATTCTCCTACAACTAACCTATGCTGTGTCTAGCTTCAACCATCTCTTGTCTCTCCCTAAAGCTCCTTGTCTCTCATTCCTCATGCAAACACATTCACCTTAATAGGTTCAGTAATGTCTGCTCCCCTTCCTTGTCTGAGTTGCAATCTTCCATGATGCAAACACTGCTTTGTTTCAAATAAGTGATCACATTTTGCTTTACTCAGCTCATGCATAGGCCATACAAAGTAGAAAATTAATATGGTATAGAAAAGTCTACTTGAATACTATACTGTGCTATAGATATAATACTGAATACTGTACGTAATTCCTTACAATACAGAAATCTTTTGGCTTTTGTCAGTATATGAGAATAGGATCCGATTATTCATCCTCCCCCTTTTTAAAAATAAACATACATGTCCCTGTTCCTCTTTGGCTACCGATTCTCTCGACAAAAGGAAAATCAACTTATCAGTCAATACAATACTCAGGCAAATTTCTTGATGTTTATCATCATTCTTTTATAAATTAGAATTCATACTTGGAATAAAGTATCCCTACTTTACATCAACTACAGCTACCAAGTGATTCTATGGATGAGAAATTACTGTAGTGTATCTTCTTCCTAGTTATTGCAAAGATGAACCAGTAACTCAAACTTCCAGAAAATCTTCCTATTCTTTTTTTCAACTTCTGATGCTACATATGCTAATTATTGCACAGATGTATTAAAAGTGTCCAAACACCATAAATAATGAGAGTATCCATACAAATATTAATAAAGGTGCAATAAAAATGCATTACAAGATGTTAAGCATATACAATATTGAGAATCCATGCACACATAAAACTCAAGTACAGCATGCATCTGTAAATATATTCATATACATATACAGATACAAGTACTGTATACATTTACATACACACCATACATATATACATAAATGAATATACATACATATATATATATGTATATATGTGTGTGTGCATACACACATGTAGGTATGCATGTACATGTAGACACACGAACAACATCCTGCGTGTAAGCAAAGTGCAGAGGCTCCTACCTGGTGAACAACCTCAGATGGGGGAATATCTGTTGTGCGGTTTGTGTAGTGCGGCCCCTGAGGCTGCGTCACAACATTAGCCTCCTGGACTGGGACGCCCGGAGTGGTCATGGTCATCCCGCCCA